CAAGCCCAAGTTGGCCCAGATGGGACGGGGGTGGGGTGGGGTGGTTAAGTAAAGTAAGTAAAGGCCCTCCCGTTGATCATCGATTTGCTCGAGCGGGCCCAGTAACGTCTCCATTGGAGACTTTGTTGTTACTGTGTCTGGCATATCGAATACTCTCGGTAGCTTGCCGGGCTCTCCGAGAGGGGCGGAGGAATCGAACTCGGGTTGGCCATGTTGGCTGCGTGCAAGGCAGACGCCCTACCCGCTGTGCTATCGCTCGTGGGAGGAACCACAAATGGAAGGAAGGAAGGGAGGGAGGGAGGGAGGGAGGGAGGGAGGGAGGTGAGGGGTGGGGAGGGGAAGGGAGGGAGGAAGGAAAGAAGAAGGAGGGAAGAGAAGGAAGGAAGGAAGGAAGGAAGGAAGGAAGGAAGGAAGGAAGGAAGGAAGGAAGGAATCCATGGTGAGGGCAGTGCTGTATCCCTTCCATGGTGAGCACATCCGGCCTGGAGTCTGAAATGAGAAGGAGATTCAGATCCTCCTCTGGAGGACAGCCTGGGAGCTTCCTGAAGAAACATAGAGAGCTGTGCTGCCTTCTGGCGGGCAGGAGCGTGGCACCGGGTCACCCAGAAACGCAATGACTGAGGGGCCCCCTGTGAAGTCACGCAGGTGCCAGCTCTGCTCAAGGAAGGGGCTGTGCGCCTGTGTTTAGAGGTGATGGGGAGGGACCCGGAAGGGTGGGGGATGGCCGGGAGCCAGGGGACCAGCACCCAGGAATGCCGCTTCAGCAAATGCCAGATGCCAGGGGCGGCCAGAGGCCTCTTGGGACAGGTCAGTGCACGCCTCTGAGGGGTCCTGACATGTCACAAGCCCACCGGGAACAGGGAGAGCTGGGGCTGGCGAGTCACTGGTACACCCGCCCAGGTCCCTCCAGGGAAGCTCCTTTCTGGAGAAGTGACGTGTCTCGACCCCATTTCAGGCTCCCCACAACCCGACCCTCTTCCCCCAAGAAATCAAGGAAAAGGAACCATAAAAATTTCATTTTAATGATACAGAAATAGCATATAGTTACATTTCTTTCCAGAGCAGCACTTCAGTCATCTCTAAAAAATTTAACAAAATTAAGGCTAAAATCAGAGCAATCTGATAGTCAAGGGATGTTTATGTGGTGATGGTATTTTTAAAAGAAAGTCTTCATAAATATAGAATGTTTTTTTAGGGGGCAAAAAAAAAGAACTTGAGCAAGATAGGAGACGGGGGAAATTATTCAGTACAAACGTGCTCCTTGCATCCAGCGACCATCCTAAAGATCCAACTGGGGCCTTTAAACAATCCACCTTAGGAAAAACAACCGAGACATGCTAAGGCTGAGTCCCCCAGTGCCTGGGCCACTCTGGGAAGTCAAGCCAAAGGCTCCTCACAATCACTAGATAGCATCAGGGCGAACAATGTAGGGCGAGCAGACCAATGCCACCTGCCAGCGCCCCGGGGAGCTGCCCGGCCCCACCACCTGGGCCGAAGGCTGCCAGGACACAAGCGGTTTCCACTGTGATCAGGAAAGAGGGTCGCGACCCAGTCCCTGTCCTCTGACCCCAGGGGCCCAGTTCTCAGGGGGATCTTTCGACCCGTGCTGTCTGACTCCATAAACCCCACAGCTGCCCTGAATTCTTTTTCCTTTCTACCTTTCCCAATAAAACTGAGAACACAAACACCTCCACCCCCACGGTACCTCCCTGCAGGGGCCCTGCTCTGTAGACCCCCTGATAGCATCTCCCCACGTCCATGGAAGACCCACCTCTGGATGGCCAAGCAGCACCTCTGCTCGGGGATTCCTCTCCCCACCACCCTCTGCTTTCACTGTACGAGCCAATCCTCCACCGCCTGCCCCTGGGGTGCATGTACTGTCCCCCTGAAGCAAGTGGTGGGTAAAGTCATCCTAAGGACAAGGACATTTTTGACTAGAGGGCCGAATCCCCCAGAGAATAATCACCTCCTAAGTCAAAGGCGCTCATTATACAGAAGTGGATATGAAGAAACAATGCAACATTTTTTTGCTCTAACTTTCCATGACAGTTTTGTTTTTCTTTGATCCCCAACACCTCAGTTTCCCCTAAAATGATAAGATGGAAGGAAAACAGTCCCAGTACACACATATCTCCTAAGACTTACGGCTCCCAAAATGTCTGGGAAACAGTGGGCTGAGGTAAACGTACCAAAAATGCACTAAAGTCTCCTGTAAATACAAATGTTCCAGTGGCCCACAATCGTGTCGAGAGATTCACATGGAACAGGAGACGATCACACAGCTGCATAAAGAGACGGGTTTTGAGATCTGCTGGTTTTGGGGTCTGCAGATCTGGCCGGTCACCAGAGTTCCGCAATGGGGTTCACTATCCCTTTCCCCTCTCCCAGGGCCCATTCAGGAATAAGCCAAATGGGCCTGGGACCCAGCAATTTGCACTGTTTCCCTTTTGAATTCAATATTCCAATGCCCTGGTTAGACAGAGAACACGAAGGCCCCCTCCCCAAGTCGGGGTGCCCACTAATGCTAAGAGAAAGGGCTGGGGCCAGGTCTCTGTCCCTCCCCACTCCCCCTCCTCCCCCACACCTGTCCCCTCACCCCCAAGTGACAAGCAGATATCCTGTGGCTAAAGCAAGTGGCAAGCTAAGGGCAGGGCCCCCCTGTCTCCCGTCCTTCCGGCTCCATCCGAGGTCCTCAAAGCCCAATAATACTAGTTGGCTGGCATTTAGCTAAGGCCTAATACTGTCATTTCTGCCACACCTGCCCACACTCATCCACACAGACACAAAAAGACACCACTGCAGACCAGAGCCACCTCCCAGGAGAGGCCTGGACAGGCGAGGAGAAGGCCCTGTTCCGGTCAGCGGGAATCAGAGTGGCAAGACAAGCTCCTCTAACTAAGCTGTCTTCTCCTGGTCCCTGAATGGCATCAGTTCTGTGAGAAATAAATAAATCCAAGGGATGGGAAGATGCCAATTGCCTATGAGATTTAGCAGATGTGCATTATAAGAATCTTATACTCTTCAGAGACCATTTGGGGGGTAATTATAACGACTATACTTCATTGGGATTCACGACTGCTTCTCTTGGTCTGCGAGAACATTCTTCGGATGCTGGAGTGAAAGTCTTTCATGACGTGGGCAGTAGAAACTGAACAAGTATATGATATGGTCACCACCTGTGAATCTCTCTTTCTCATATTGTAACGGGGAGATGACTTGTTATATTGTCTAATTTATAGCTATGGCTCATGGACCATGTTATAAGATGATGCCACTAACCTGTCGATCTGATTATAGGGGTGGCAGAAAAGGGTTGATAACTCAAACATTAAAAAAAGCTAGCAGGGAAACATTTAAAGAAAAATCTAAGGCTAAAATTTAAATAAATCAATAGGCCCCATGTCACCGTGCCCGGCCTGCCGGTACCTACTGACAAGAGGGGACAAAGAGGCTTGCATGGGCCCGGGGGCCACACAGGAACCACGGCAGCCAGCGTGGGTCCCTAGAGAGAGCAATCCCCCAGGAAGGAGGGGAAGCACCCCGGAGGAAATTTGTCTCACAAGGAAATCAGTGACAGAAGAGGCACCTCCATCCCTGAGGAGACTGTGTGTTTGCGCCTCTGGACAAGCACTCCAGACTCCAGGCTGTGAGTCTGGGCAGCGCCACCATGCCTCAAGTTACAGCCTGTCTTCACTTCAACAGCAGAGGGCTGTCAAAGCCAGCCTGACCGAGTTAGACTCCTGACCATTCCTCCAGATAATCACTTAGACTCCTCCCGCTAAGTGCACCCACCCATCCGTTCAACACACATTCCCTGAGTGGGGAGTGGACTCAGAGATGGTCAGAGCAAGAGATTCAGGCATGGCGGAGCCGTGGTCCTCGTTTCCCCAAAGAGGCGGCCAGCAGCCAGCCCTCTAGTTCAGGTTTCTCTCTGCCGCCTGCTCAATGCACTTTTTTTTTTTTTCACTTCAAAAGTAAAAAAAAAAAATTAAAAAATTCAAGACGCAAGAATATCTGTGCCTCACAACGCTCATAAATACTGGCAAAATGGAATGATAAAACTCCAGAGAAAATGTACCTTAAAAAATAGTCAAGAGTTGTGATGGTTCTTTCCAGCTTCACAGGCAGTGGTTTCAGAGGTCCTAGGATAACACTTTCATCTCTCTGCCTGGGTCAGCAGTCATTCCAGAAAGACGACGACGACACCACGGGACAAACTTGGGGACCACACAGGACATGGCACTCGGCTAATCTATGGGGAAGTCTATGCTACAGCATCGGGGTTTGCTCTGGACACACCCTGGTACCAGTTAAGAACACGCGCACTTGGTACAAATTTAAGCCAGAGGATGAAGCCACTGCTAGCATTTTCATGAAGGGTGGTTTGTAACTGTCACTATCTCCAGAGAAATTAAGTGAACTGAGCCAGGGCGCAGTGCTCAGGGGTCTCTAAAGTCTTAGCGGTTTAGGGGCTCAGACGACGGCTTCAGGGAAATAGGACCGAGTGGTTCGACATGCCAGATTGATTTTCATTTATGGATTATAGAGTTGTGTAGGAATATACGATAGCTACCACCCAAACCTCTTTTAAAATTTCTTGTACCCTCTTCCAGAAAAAGTCAGAGACCTTTGAAAAATCAAAAAGCCTATGAGCGGACAGTTACATGAAGAGCTTCAGTTGCTGAGAACTCTACCCCCTCCCCAGGAAAATGACACTGAAATTGAACATTCTGTGACAAAAATCACCGTTTGTCTCACAACCAGAACAAATGGAAAACAACACCATTGAAAGCATTTCAGTACCTCTCTGCCAGCTACTGCAGAAACACGGGGACTCGGCAGACATGCAGGAAATCAATTCTATCCAGGGAAGAGTTAACAAATCAAACTCTGTAGGACTTTAATAAGTGGATTAAAAGTAGCCTCTTCATAAAAACAAAATATTTCTTCCTCAAGGCAATTGTTATCTACAAAGGAAAAATGATTTCATATCCTTGGTCCATAAAGAAGACACATTTATTTACATTCTCAATGGACTAAAAGAGGTTTTAAACTGTCACAATTAAAACAGTATGCTTCCAAAAATATCTTATGATCGATGCACTTAACTTAAAGCTTCAGGTATTAATAACTTCATTTAGACTTCTTAAAAAACCAACACAAAAACGTACTTTCTAGAGTGCAAAATGCTTCTTATTAAATACTTCAGTAACACAAAAGCGATTTGTATTGAAACACAGGAATCCTTTTTCCGCAGGATCGTCACCACAAAGACATCCATTGCCGGCAATGGACGTGGAACAGCACTGCCAGCCCGCGTGGAGTTTCCGCCGGAGACCCGTGCGTGCGCCAGGCTCTGCTGCGGACGCGCTCCCCGTCACTTGTACAGGCTCATGGTCGGGCTCTGGTACATGCACATGTACGCGTCACACAGGAGTCTCCGTGCACAGCCTTGGATCCTTCTGGAGTCCAAGGAATGCAGTTCCTCCAGAGACATCTTCAAGTACTCTCCAATCTCGGGGCAGGGCGTCACTTGGGGAATGTTGAAGCCGTTCTGACCACCTGTGGGAAGAGGAGGTGCTCGCTTTAGGGCCAGCAAGTTCTCAACCTTTTGGCTGCCCCAAACAACTTTACAGGACTAAACTACCCAGTTACAAACTATTTTAAAAAAATATTGTTTTTAAAGCTAATTTTCTGACAACTTCCATTCTTGAATTCAGAAGATTCCTGGACCAACAGTGAAACTGGTGTGAAACTCCCTCCCCTCCCCTCCTCTCCCCTCCCTTCCCCTCCCCTCTCCCCCCCCTCCTCCCACCCCCCCACCCCGCCCAAAACCTACTTTCCAGGCCTCCCTCTAGCTAGGGAGAGCATGTGAGGGCACACAACCACACAACCACACACACACACACACACACACACTTACTTTCAAACACTTCCACATTCTTCTGTCCCAGACACAAACACGTGTCCGCTCCCCTGTGGGAGTCCAACTTAGACCAAGGGACACTGAATCCTACTGTGGTCCCTCACATTACAAAACCCTATTGATGCCACAGCAGCAAGGCCTGACAGGACACACGGACAAATGGAGAGACTACAGGGTTGGTTCTAGGGAGTCAGGGAAAAAACCAAACCCTCCGCATCTTCTAAGCAGCTGACTCCCCGATGCTCCTGCACTAGACTGTCCAACACCAATGTTAACCGGAACAGGGGAGGCAGCTCTGTGGGTGGAGCTGTGGGCTGTGCTTCCCACCCCAAGTCTCTGAGACAAGAAGCAGCACTGGGAAGCTTGGCTGAAACTGGGCCTCTGGTGAAAAGGCGACTGCAGGGGGGCCAAGGGTCAGATGAACCAAGCAGATCCAAACTCGGCTTTAAAATAGAAAGATGCGGGGCTGGAGTGATAGCACAGCGGGTAGGGTGTTGACCTTGCACGCGGCTGACCCAAGTTCAATTCCCAGCATCCCATATGATCCCCCGAGCACCGCCAGGAGTAATTCCTAAGTGCAAAGCCAGGAGTAACCCCTGTACATTGCCAGGTGTGACCCAAAAAGCAAGAAACAAAACAAAACAAAAAATCTAAAACAAAACAAAACAAACAAACACTGTCCTCCTGTTGTTCATCGATTTGCTCAAGTAATGTCATTACAGGCCCAGTAATGTCTCCATTTTGAGACTTGTTGTTGCTGTGTTTGGCATATCCAATACGTCACGGGGAGTTTGCCAGGCTTTGCCGTGCAGGCGAGATACTCTTAGTAGCTTGCCGGGCTCTCCGAGAGGGGTGGAGAAATTGAACCTGGCACCACAGGCAGCTTGCAAGGCAAACGCCCTACCGCTGTGCTATTGCTCCAGCCCCACATCTTTCTGTTTTAAAGCCGAGTCTGTATCTGCTTGGTCCATCTGACCTCCTAGCCCTGCCTGCAGTTACCTTTTCACCAGAGTCCCAGACTCAGCCAAGTTTCCCAACGCTGCCTCATGTCTCGGAGAAAGAAAAAAAAAAAACCAGAAAGATGCGAAGGATTCCGAAAACACAAGGGTTTGGGAAGATAACGACTTTGCACACTTGCCAGAAAGCTTGGCACACAGGCATGAAAGGAAAAATCACAGTCAGAAAGCGCAAGGCAGAACTGAAAAGCAAAAACCTCTGCTCTATCACCGGAAGAATTCTAGGGTCTGCTTCTTCCAGGAGGAGCCGCTGCCTGTGCAAACACCACAAGACTATGCCTGCAGTCTGGCAGCGGGCTTAGCTGAGGCGTTTCAGAACGCCCTGCTATGGCCCCTGAGGTACTCCTCACAGGCTTTGCTCACAGAACACTTTCTTCCTCAGGGAGGCCTGTCCCCTCCCTCCACCTCCCCACCTCCCCACCCCCCACCCCTCCACCACCCCTGGCTAGGAACCAGTTCCCGACAGTCAAATGGAGAGACCGCATGGAGGTAAAGAAAGTCTGAAACTACCATCTCGGTCAGCCATGCTGTCGAAGAAGAGCCAGGCCGAGTCATCCTTCCCGTACTTCACGAACGCCACGTAGTGGCTGGTCTCTATGCAGAGGACGGCGAAAAGCTCCATCTTCTGACAGGGGATGCAGCCATGCCTCCAGTCCCAGTCGGGCAGGTCCTTGGGCAGCGACACGGGGTTATACTGGTGGTTCAGCCTCTTGGGATGCAGGTGCACCTGCGGGGAGACACCAAGAGAACGTCCTTGGTGAGTGACACCAAGTGGCGGGGAGCTGCCTGGGCAGCAGAAGCACAGAAGCACTTTTGTGAAGGGCTTTTATTCCCACCCACCCACCCCCATTGAGGATTTTTTCATTTTGACTTCTCTTAAATGGGATCATGCTTCCCACGACAAACAACGGCCGGCCATCAAACACGGGGACACCCAGGAAGGGCAGCTGGACTTACTTGATTGTTGCAGGTTTTACAGAACTGCTTGATCTTCCCAGCCGAGATGTCGGGATCATCGTAGCACTCTCGACACTCGTACATGGCGAGCCCGCCACACACCCGGCACTGCCTGGGGGCTGAGACGGGGAGCGGGGCTGAGGGGTCTCTCAGAGACAAGGGTATGCAAAGCGACAAGCTTGCAAAAGGATGAAAGCTGCCAGGAGTGCTCTCTGAGCACTGCTAGCTAGGGCCCCCAACAACAACAAAATGGAAGTTTACACATTCATAATAATCCCTATATATGTGTGTTTGTGTTTATATGTATATGTATATATATATATATGTCAGATGTATATATAAAAAACACACAAGGTTCAACCTTTAACAACATGTTAGTGATCTCTTATAGAAGGGCTTAATGGCCCCTGGGTGAAATACAACAACCTCCCACACTTTCCTCGAAGGATACTTTTTTGTAGCATTTTTAGTAGTTTTTTCATAACAAAAAATACAAAATACATTATTTCGATTCTGCTTTGGGGCAGGGATTGGGGTTCGGATGGAAACATCCAAAATATGGCAGTGGGAAGGTGTAATGGTGGTGGGATTGCTGTTTGAACATTAAACGTAATGAAATATTGTGAACTACTTTATAAAATAAAAAATATATATATTTTTAAAAAAAAAACATGAATAATTCCTTCCTGTCCCCAGAAACTTTGTTTTCTATTTGGGGTGGGGTGGTGTGAGGAGGAACGTGGGGAGTGGAATCAAGCAGTACTCAAAGGCTTTCCCTGGCTCTGTACTTGGCAGGGGGTTGGGGGGGTCACTCCAGGCAGTGCTCAAGGGTCCCAGGAAGTGACAGGGATCAAACCTGGGACTCCTGCATGCAAAACATGTGCTCCCGCCCACTGAGCCATTTTTGCAGCCCCCGTCCCCAGAAACTTTAAAATTGTACCTCTCTGGATTCAGTACCTTTAAAGGCAGTTTCCCTAACCACAATGATTTCCTTTTAAAAAGAATGCGTTCTGGGGTCTTTTCTCCCAACCATCAAGGCCCACGGATAAAGATGCCAAAGTGCAGGACAGTACAAAGACAGAAACTGGAAGTGCTGGCGATTTCAGCTGACAAGTGGCAACCACCTGTCCGATCCTACAGTGCATTCTCTCCAGGAAATCTCTATCTGCAAGTTTCCGGCGGGGCAGGTGCAGATCCCACCTAGGGGACCTCTTTGGCACACTGGACTCTGTCACACGAGCGGAAGTGTCAGCCGCCTCGCTGAAGACACACAACCTCAGTCACCTCGGAGCTCTCCTGCCATTGGATCGGTTGGGTCTTAATTTCTCACCCGCGTGACAACAGACATAGTTTCAGTACATAGTGATTAGCATCTCTGATTTTTCTCAGGATAAATGCCCAGCTCTGAACTGACTGACTCAGCCTGCCCAGGCCTTTCATCTATTTGACTGCCCTTTAGAAAAACTGCCCGCCATGAGGCTTTTTTGCTCACAACTAGAGAGAACAACCTGATAAGGCTATTTCTGAAAATAAATACATCAATAAACCAGCATGTGGAAAATTACAACACTTACTGTCTTCAAGTAAATCCGTTATATTTAATTCCAGAGAAGGAAAAATTTTTTTGAAAAGTTTGAAGTCTTTTCCAAATCGAGGCATCTGAATGATCAGACATGATGGTGCCTAAAAGGACAAATAAACAAATGAACCCACATAGAGTCCAAGTGCTGAATAAAATGTTTTTCTGTGAAACCGAAATAGACTGTCACTGTCACTGTCCTCCTGCTGTTTATCGATTTGCTCGAGCAGGCCCAGTAACATCTCCATTTTGAGACTTGTTGTTGCTGTGTTTGGCATATTGAATACGTTGTGGGTAGCTTGCCAGGCTTTGCCATGCAGGCGAGATACTCTCGGTAGCTTGCCAGGTTCTCCGAAAGGGATGGAGGAATCGAACTCGGGTCAACCATGTAGGCTGCGTGCAAGGCAAACGCCCTACCGCTGTGCTATCGCTCCGGCCCCTGAAATAGACATGGCTGTTTATCAGCATGACTTCACCACCGAGCTGGGCCAGGAAGTCAGGATCCTGGAATGTGAAGGTGCAGGCACCAAGCAGCCACCTGCACACACAGAGGCCAGCCAGTTCCATTAGCAAATATGGGGCTACAGAGAGTGACCTTCTGCTGAATCAGTACTTCGGAAAATCTTGGTTTTGCAAGTAAGGAAACTGCCATCACTCAAGTCCACTCATTGGTCCTTAAAATTCAATAAATGAGTAACTGTGACTGTTGAGATTTTTCTAGAATATTCCTTCAGGAAAATGAATACTTTAAAAAAAAAAAAGTAAGCCACAAATGTGTACTGTAACATAATGATACTCAGTAAAGAGTCAAAAAAGGGGGCAATTTTTACCACTTTGTTCTAACCAGCCAATGTTAGTAAAGGTAAAGGTAAAGGTAAAGGCCCTCCCGTTGATCGTCGATTTGCTCGAGCGGGCCCAGTAACGTCTCCATTGGAGACTTTGTTGTTACTGTGTCTGGCATATTGAATACTCTCTCTCGGTAGCTTGCCGGGCTCTCCGAGAGGGGCGGAGGAATCGAACTCGGGTCGGCCATGTTGGCCGCTTGTAAGGCGAACACCCTACCTGCTGTGCTATCTTTTACTGTAGATCAAAGAGCAAACATCTTATTAAAATACACATGCATAACATACTTAGTATATGTAATATATTTTAATATACGTTAGGTTTTAAAATATAGTAGAGGGGCTGGAGTGATAGTACAGCAGGTAAGGCATTTGCCTTGCAGGTGGCCAACCCGGGTTCAATCCCCAGTATCCCATATGGTCCCCCAAGCACCACCGGGGGTAATTCCTGAGCAGAGAGCCAGGAGTAACCCCTGAGCATCACTGGGTATGACCCAAAAAGCAAAACTAAAATAAAATAAAATATATTAGAAAAACATGTCTTTTTTGCTCTAAATTAATTAAAGCTTTCAAATTACATATTGGCTTGATATCATTAGACCAAAAATCCAAAAATTCCCATCCTTTAGAGAGAGAACAAGGGGGAATGCTCTGCCACAGAGGTAGGGTGGGATGGGAGGGACAGGGGGTAGAAGGGAAACTGGGATCAGTGGTGGTGGAGAATGGGCACTGGTGGAAGGATGGGTATTCGATCATTGTATAACTGAAACCCAAGCACAAAAATTTGTAAATCTACAACTGTACCTCATGGTGTTTCACTAATAAAAATAAATTAAAAAAATTCCCATCCTTTAATTCTAATGCAGATCTTCCTTAAGGACAAAGTTAAAACACGGAACTTTTAAAAAAACATTTTGCTAACACTTTGTGTTTCTAACTATTGTCACTGGGTTAAAGGTAATAGCTTTTCAATACTGATACTGGCAAACGCCATGACTTTCATATAAAGATACAGTAAGTAATTGCCACTAACCTCTGCAAATTTCAGGTTACTGTTGATAAATGACCATTCTAACAACTGCTGAATTGTAGGCACTCCAACCTTTTCATTTTTTTCCATAAATATTTGATAGAAGTAACAATCTTGTACTTTTTGACCCGCTGATCTAAAAATACAGGGTAAAACGCTTAAGATTTATGAAATGCTTAGATAAAAATGATCCAGTAGTATTTAAAACTAGGAAAATTAATGATAAAACTCTAGATAGAACAACAGGGGCGAAGACAATCATGCAATAGATAGATGCCTAAGACCTTAAAAATGTTTCCTTGTTTTGGGGCCAGAGCAATAGTACAGCAGGTAGGGCATTTGCCTTGCATGTGGCCAGCCCCAGTTCGATCCTGGGCATCCCATATGGTCCCCTGAGCATCACCAGGAGTAATTCCTGAGTACAGAGTCAGTAATAACCCCTGAGCATTGTCAGGTTTGACCCAAAAAATTAGCACTGTTATTAGCACTGTCCTCCCGTTGTTCATCGATTTGCTCGAGCAGGCCCAGTAACGTCTCCATTGTGAGACTTGTTGTTACTGTGTTTGGCATGTTGAATACGTCACAGGTAGCTTGCCAGGCTTTGCCGTGCGGGCCAGATATTCTCAGTAGCTTGCCAGGCTCTCGGAGAGAGGGGTGGAGGAATCAAACCTGGCTGGGCCAGCTGGCTGCGCGCAAAGCAAACACCCTACCACTGTGCTATCGCTCCAGCACCCCACCCCCCCACCCTGGAAAAAAAAAGTTTTTGTGTTTAATCTTTAATACTAAAGAACTTCTTTAGTGATCAGGAAAATGGCAATGCAATAACATATGCGATTAAGAAGCACTGGCAAACAATACTAACCAGAAGTTGAAATCATATGATTCGACTTTATGCCCAGATCCTAGAAATCTGTAAAAGGTGTTTAATGCTTGGAACAGGATAAGACAGCCTTGTATGCCTGGTGGGGACAGACCCTGGGAGACTGTCTAGACCAGAATTTCTTCTCATTTCATTCTGCTCCTTCCTGCTCAAGAACTCTGTGCATCTTTAGTCTTTTCGTCTTTAAATTTGAGTCTGTCAAAAATTCCCATAAATCTTAAACTATTATCTTCCAAATGATGCTTCTTTGCCTGCCCCGCCTACCCCCCTCTCTCCTTCTCTCCCTCTCTCTCATTTCCTACTAAAATGACAACTGGAATTTATTGTGCAGGCCTCTTATCTGCCAACTGTTTATCTCCCTGGGATGCATTAAGGCTATTTTCTTCAGATCTATCTTCCAAAAGAGAAAATCTCTCTTTAACATCTCTCTTTAACAGTACATATTTAAAATCTCTCTTTAACAGTACATATTTAACAGTACATATTGTGGGGGTACCTCTTTCAAGATATATATGATATGAGATATATATTTATTTATATTTGTTTCTAGAACTTTCATTTTTGTTTACCAAAATTTTTAAAATCAAATCAGCATTTGTCCTCCAAAGGAATCTGAGTTCTTTTGTTTCTTCAGTCACTGATGAGTATAGACTCTCTTAGAGTGTCTTACTATTTCAGACTGTAAAGAGATTTGTTCTATTTGTTGAATCTGCTGATTCTCATCCAGAAAGAAAGTCTCATGGAGGGGAGAGATTAAAAAAAGACTAATTTAGCAATATCTTTATATCTTGCCATAGTCTCTAAATCTGTGGCTCCACAGGAAGAGTCCTGGGCAGGAGGGTGAGCCTCAGGGAAGACTCAGATACTGAGCTCTGCTCCCCCTCTAGAAGCACTATGCTTCCCCTGTGTTAGAATCGTCCTATGATGGGGCCAGAGAGGTAGTACAGTAGGTAGGGCCTGCCTTGCACATGGCTGACCCAGGTTTGATCTCCAACATCCCATATGGTCCCACAAACACCGCTAAGAGTAATTCCTGAGTGCATGAGACAGGAGTAAGTCCTGTGCACTGCTGGGTGTGACTCAAACACACGCAAACAAACAAACAAAAAAAAAACAGAGTTGTCCTATGATATTACTGGGAATGTAGGACATCTTTATTGCTATGTTATTACAGGCAATGCAATCCATAAGTGTTTGGGGATATTGAAAAAAAAAAGACAACTATTTTAATCACCTGGAATCCCAAGATGAGAAACAAAAGTCAATTTTTTTCACCCAAACGGCCAGCTAGATTTCCTACCTTGGGCACTTAACATATCCAGCCTTCCTCCTTTGTATTTGAAGGGTTATGTCTAAGATAATGCAATATGACATAGAGTTATTTCTATTTCTGAGCTCCTATTCAATTCTATAGATCTGTATTTCTAATTTTAAACCAGTATCACACTGTTTTAATGCCTATTGCTTTGCCTTTATAGCTTATAATAGAACTCTTAAAAATAAAGGCTCCAAAGTTTTCATTTTATCATGTAGAGAATTCCAAAATTACTCCACTGAATTCCTTCCCTCCCACCCTGCCAAGTGTCAAAATCTTGCTTATGTACAAACTGCTTCATAAAAAATTATTGTCTTTATTTAGATTCCTATATGGACATAATCTCTTTCATTAGTCATCTATCAGCTCTGTGAAAGTATTTAAAAAAAACTCAATAGACTAATTTCTTGATATTTTATACTTTCATGAGATCCCAAATACTCCCCTCTTCATATCTGCTAGAAGATACATAGAAAGGCCTTTGATTTATCCATGATTATTTTCTATATGGCCATATTAAAAATTCTTTTCAATTCAATAGATAACTATTTCTAAATTATTCCCTATTATTTTCTTGGTATAACTTAGCAACATGAAAAGATAAAACATTGATATTTTATTACTGATGTTGTGGAGCATGACTTATTTCATCAATTTAGAACTTCTCAACTATAACTGTGGTATTGTCCATCCCTCCATCTTATTCAACAACTCAACTCTGGCCATCAAGCAACATCACATAAGACACAGAGACAAGTAAAAGTTCTTGTTTGTCTGTGATAGAGAAGTAAATAAAACGTCAGCAAAATTCTCAGGAGAAAAACCCAGGCTCAACACCAAGGGACTCACCGCTGGGCTACTAGCCGGGTCTCGTCCCCAGAGATGCTGGGTCTGGCTCAAAGCACAAACCAAATTTGACATAATTACATAAGGAAAAAATTGGGGGGGGGGATAATATTTACTAGTAGACACACATATATATTGGATTTATTCTACAAGCGTGACTTTGTGAACAATGATTAAAATTAATTTACACTGGAGAAACCTCACAGGTTCAAGACCCAGATGCAAATACAATAGTAGGCAATCACCAAGGAAATGGTTTCTATTGAATGGCAGTGAAAGGAAAACTTTCTATTTTTTTCCCCAATGCTTTATTAGTCATGTAAACATTTACCTTATTTTTAATAAAGGCTCTACCCTTAAAATATGATGAAACAGAATATTCAAGAACTCTTCAGGATCTAGGAGAAAAATAAAAACAAGTCAGTCACAGAAAAATTTTCAAATCATTCTGGTTATACCTCCATACTGAATTCAATGCCGTAAGCAACAGTCTATCCATTAAAACACAGTACTCCAGCTGATTCCCAGAACCACCAGGAATGATCTCTGCACACCACTGGGTGTTGCCCCAAATACCGCACCCCCACCCCCAGAAAAAAAAAGGCAGTTCTTTAGTTTTCCTGTAAAAATGAAGAGAAGGAATACTGAAAGATATAGAAAAATATATGTTTTAATTTTGCTACACCTATTGCATTTGAAAAGGCATCATATCTCACACGTGGTAAATAATAGCCTCAAAACAGTTAAAATAAGCTGCCTCCATATTTGGTCAGGAAGTGAAAATCTACTTTTCCTGAGTAAGTGCCTCAGCTGCAAATAGATTAAAACACTGCCTCTGACCATGAGTTTAAGTCTAGTCTACCATTTGCTACCTCCTTTTATAACAAGAAAAAAGCAAAGCGGTGGAAAAGTGGGTGGTGCCTCCACACACCCCTTTACCACCATGTCAAGAACAATTTCAAACATCAATTTGATGGGAAGGAAGGAACTTTGATTCGTTACTGTCATATGTCATGATCGACAATTTCACAAAGGGATTCATTACTCCACATCATCACGCCCTCTTAGAAGAAAGCATCTTACAAAAGGTGGAGGAAAGGCACTCAGAGGGGGAAGAAAAAAATCAACCTAGTTTCAAATAAACCCCGCAGAACTACCAGGTGCCCATTTCGGTCAATGCCTTAGCCATGTGCTCTACAAAGCATCTTCCGGTGGGAGTGACAGAAATGATAGTAGTGACAGAAGGTATCAGGGGCCCCACTGGGGATTCTCAGCCGAGCTGGCCAGCAGACCAATACAAGGGCTTGGGTATGCAAGGCCACTTAGGCCCTGAGGTATTGGGGATCACCTGGGCCACCCCAGTGGCGCCAGGGGGCCTTTGGGCCAGTCTGGGCGATGCTCCAGAAACCACACACAGAGCCAGCAGTTGAACCCGATCAGGCACGTGAGAGGCACATTGCTGGAAGCCCCAGCCCTCAGATGATCCCGAATGCATAGACTATGAATTAAGAGAGTCACCTTTTTCTTCAGACGTAAACCCTGAGGCAGCCTCAACTTTTTCAAGAATTTTCCTCAGTTTCATGATCTTTGTGGCACACACGTATCCATATCTGCGTTGGTAAAAATGAACAGATGATTAATCCTGGCTACATGAACCCATTTTTATGGCGACATGTTTCTTACACAACCCCAGCAGGGCACTACTATCACAGGCTTCTTTTCAAGTTTGTAAAATTAAACATTTAGAATTATCTCAGAACCTGCGATAACCTAACAACACAAAACAAAACCTGTCAGAGACTTGTACGAGGAAAAACATTTTTAAATTTGTGATGACCTGCTTTCAATAATATCATTTATAAGCAATGATAGGAATGTCAGCATTTATTTTATAGAACAGAACATACAGTATTTGGGGAACAAAAAGTACCTTTAGCAAAAGAACAAAATCGTCACCGAAGGGGAGGAAGAGAGAGGGAAGGATAAGAAATGAGCCTGTAAGACCTGCAATCTCTGCCTACAGAACCACTGTCTGCCTACAGGACTCATTCAGGAGGTCACCACAGATCCCCCAGAAAATTCTCCTTCCAAAAAGTGCTTTGGAGGAAACCTGAGAAGCCAGGATGAAACATGAAGGCATCTGAGGATGCGCTAACCCTAGATCTCCACTTTTTATAGTGTCTACTCCTGAGCTCTGCACTGAACGTCTATGACTTCCACCATGATCTCAACTGTGAGTCACTGGGAGCAGCAAAACAATGAGTGTGGAAAACCAGGTTCTCTGTGTCCGAGAACCCTACAATGGAGAAAGCCCACAGGCCACCACACAAAGGCATGGCCAGCAAGGGTTCTTTACTGCAACAGGGCAGCCCACCTGGCTGTGGAGAGGTGATCACATCTGGCTAACCGGATTCTTAACCAGTTCTTAACTGGTTGGATAAGAGTATCCAAAGAACTTTGTTTACTAATGGACTTACTGTGTTTGGAAGGAAAGAAGGGAGTGTTAATACACTTAAAGAGATTTGGATTTCATCTCTTCTGCCCTAAGATCAATTATACAAGGAGAAACTAGTACATTTAAAAATACATAGTTAAAACAAAAAATAACTGATGTAGAGGCCAGAGAAATAGTGGGCAGGGCACTGTCCTTGCATGAGGTCAACTGGGATTCAATCCCTAGCACCCCATATGATCCCTAAGCAGAGAGCCAGGAGTAGTCCCTGAGCCCTATCAGATGTGGTTCCAAACACCCCCACCCAAAATAAGATTAAATAAAATAAACAAAAACTATTGATGTAAAAATCATGGCCCTTAAAAAAAAAGAAATAGTCTTTTTCATCATTAAGAATTTAAGGAAGGACCAGAGAGATAGTACAAAGAGTGAGGTACAGTGGACTCTGCTTCAACCTTGGACAGCAAATACGGGGCCCCCTGAGTACTCCCAGGAGTAACCCCTGAACACTGCTGGTGGTGGCTCAAACCAAAACCAAACAATCTGAGGACAACAAAAGATTAAGTGGGAAAATTTGTTTTCTCACATTTCCCTTATGTTATATAGTAATTCTCCATGCTCATTCTATTTCAGTATTCTACCTTTTTCAACAAAATCTCTTATAAAACTGTTTCTGAATTTTAATTATTAAATAAGAATGATGTCACAAGACTTGAACTTTCCTTAGACTGGACTTTATTTTTGTTTTGAGGGGGGTATTTCCCATGCAGTGCTCAGGGGTTCCGGATGCATTCCTGATAATATTTAACCTGACTTCGCGGGCTGAAAGGTTCTGAATTCAAGCCCAGGAAAAAGCAGTGCCCAGAATGGCAATGCCAGGGGTCACCAGGACTGTACCAGGTGGCACGGAGTACAGGGAGACAGAAGGTGTGGGGACAGACAGGTGTATACTCCAGCCAAGCCTTTGGGGTATCTTCAAGCTCTGTAACAGTTTTGATCTAGTTTTGGAAAATCAGTTCCCACTAGTTTTGTCTTTGACAGTCCCAAATTGGTTTAGTTTTACGAGCTGTGCCTTTAACTTGTTGTAGTTTCAATTTTATAATGTTCATCATGCATCATTACCACCAGTGAGTCAAAACTCTGCAAAATGTCTCATCCGTTGGGCTTATATCATTATAAACTTTCCAAAAGTTAAAAATAGTTTTATAATTCTGAAATTAGAAAATAACCGAAAACATCTCTTTTATAAAGGGAGTTGGAGGGAGATAAAATACATTAGAGAGATCAAAATATATTCCTTTTTAAAAATGTTCTAATTTATCTCAAGTTGCAATAAAAAATATTACTCAGGAGCTATCCTGTAAATAAAAAAAGTCCCTTGCTCATTTTCATTTCTGATAAATTAAGCTTAAGAAGTCAGATTGTACCAACTGAACTAGTAAGTAAGAGTACAGTGAAGGGTGGTACTGGAATTAATTACTTTAGAAGACATAAATTCCAAGAACTTCATACCTGCTTGTCTAAACCTGCTGGAATTACTAAATTGTAGCACAGGCTAACAAAATAATTTGATCATTTAATGTAACTCACTATACAGTGCTATACATTCACCAGATCCAAGAAATTAAATAATGGCAATGAAACGACTCAAGGTTCAAAAATATGTTCATTCTTAAATCACTTTGGCTAGCTGCTAATCAACAATGCTACTTACATTCTCAAAGGATTAACAATTTCTGTCCTCAGTAACTCTTGAGTTTCACTGTAATATTCTACATCATTCTTTTCTTTGGGTCTAAGTAACACAGTGTCCAAAACAGAACTAAAAGCAAACAAGCTGCAAAACAAAAGGATTTTGATTTATTCATTTATTTTTCCACCATACGGTACATAAGCATGTTATTTTTTGAGAATCAGAAACGGAAGAGAATACGCAGTGAAAAGTCCATGTGGAGAACGAATAAACACAAAAAAAGCAACGTTCCTCATTAACAAAGAAACCCACGACCCCCTGTGAAAATGAGACCCGTGGTTCAGTCGGGGCCTAGCGATCCTTCCGGTGTAAGGAAAACACTAACATCAAGCAGACAAAGATTGACAGTGCTGAAGGATAAAAATATGCCTCCAGTTGATGAAGAAAACGTGGGGCAGAAGTGAAAAGATTCTTCACGGATCTGAGTTAAACTACAAATAGAGAGCGGGGGAGGAGGCTCAGGAAACACCTCCCCCAGGCAAACATGTCCTCCTTGCAAGGCACACTCTGGGGGTGCCACTTCCTTCCCCTCTGCAGAGATGGGACTTTCTGTCCACGTCAAGGTCACTTGGGAGCGACCAATACTCCTAACTGGCTGACAGCGAAGACAAATTTTGGCCAAGAGGAACTTGTACCGGGAAATCTAAAGAATACTACGGTCAGCTCTCAAGGGCTTGTTTTTGCCACTCTGTATCTGTGAGGGCAGAAGTGTTCTTCTGTCCCGACCTCCCCCCACAATGGGCACATTTCCCCTTCTCCCTACTTTAACCATCCTAAATTCCATTCATTTGCTCATTATTATGACACGGCTTTCTAACAGAGAGGGCAGGGTGCCCTCAGCGTACCTGGCTCAGTCTTCAGAGGGTACCATTTCCTGCCATGTTAAGTTGTTTCCCCTTGTGGGGATGAGTACATTTTTGAGGGTAACCAAGCTTATACTGAGAGTAATCCCTTAATGCACACCCCAGCGCATGGCTGACTGGAAGTCATTATTTCAGGTGCACAGATACAGCATTTCCTCCACTCCATCCATCACAGATGTCCCATCAAATGAGTTGGAACACCACGTTATCTCTCACTGCCTTCATTTCCAACAGCCATTTTTATACAGTCACATGAATTCGTGCTAATAGCTTCCAAGCAGTGGACTGTCCTGTCCCTTAGCAGGCCCCATTGGTCTACTCAGTCAGTTGGAAGTTTCTTTCGCACATACACACATCCCTGGCTCTATGGATAATCCCTTTAATTTTTAAACTTACCAGAATAAGGTTGAGTCTAAGTAACAAGAATTGTAATGACCCTGGATACCTTTCTTCTTTCCAATCATTATCTCTAAACCTTCTTTTTCCATTTTTGGTGGCGTATTTTCTTCTACTACTTCACTTAAGTAGCCTCCAAATGCTGAAAAGATAAACATGAAGATGAAAATAATGGTTTTCAGTGATTATATATGTATGCTCATATTTTCTCACTTTAAAACACACTTTTGTAATTTAATGCAAAATGTTTCTCAAAACTAAAAGGTTTGCTCACTCTCAATCTTACTTCTTCCACAATGTAGAAAACACTTTCGACTATTAAATAATGAGTATAAAGGCACCTACCAAGTAAAAATATTTTGGTCCCCTTGAAGCCAAAGAGGTGAAACAAGCACTTGCCTTGCACGTGGCTGATTTAGATTCAATCCCCAGTACCATATATAGGTACCTCACACACTGCCAGGATCAATCCCTTAAGCAAGCCAGGCATGCCTCCCCCCACGCCCCGAACCAATTACATTTTAAATGAAATAAAATATTTTGGTCTACGAGTATTTTACTATTTGTCTGAAGATGTTTCATTTTCACCTTGGAAAAGGAAACCAAAAACTCCCAAGGGACTACAAAACCAATTACGTTTTTAAAATGAAATAAACTATTTTGGTCTACTAGTACTTTACTTCTTGTCTGAAGATGTTTCATTTTCACCTTGGAAAAGGAAACCAAAAACTCCCAAATAACTATTTCCACTGCGGTAAGAAATGTCTTGCCTGGAGATGGAGGTCCCATTTCTACCCACGGAATACTCCAAGCATCCTCCCTCTAGGATCCCAGACCAGAAAGGGGTGGCATCAGGCAACTGCCACTGGCTGCCACTGATGCAGACAGCTGTCCTCCACCCAGCAATCCAGACCCACTCTCTGTAATCAGGCTAAGATGTGCCTACTGCCAGGCCAGTGCAGTCACTGAGAAGCTGAATTTCTTAATCCACTTGGACAGGACAGAGAGGGAAGTCAGTGCCCCAAGGGCACATTTCAATTTCCACCTCGTGGCTTTGCTAAGAAGCCAAAGCCTGTCACCAACGGGAAGAGAAAAACAGACCCTGCAATTTTTCACTTCTTAAATCTCAATCACTTCCCTGACCAGCATTTTATTTATTTATTTTTTAAGTGCTTCTGAGAACTGTAAGTTTCTTATGCACCAAATCGCAATCTTTATTGATTGAAAAGCTTGAGAATGGATCTTGGCAAAGAAATCAATTTAAGGGGCTGGAGCGATAGTACAGTGGGTAGGGCATTTGCCTTGCACGCGGCCGACCCAGGTTCGATTCCCAGCATCCCATATGGTCCCCTGAGCACTGCCGCCAGGAGTTAATTCCTTAGTGCAGAGCCAGAAGTCACCCCTGTGCATTGCCGGGCGTGATCCAAAAAGCAAAAAAAAAAAAAAAAAAAAAAAAAAAAAACAAAGAAAAAAGAAAAGAAACTGATTTAAACCTTATCACTGACACCGACTGCAAAGGTGAGACCAGACATTCCAGATTGGCAAGCAAAGGCAAGGCGGGTGGGTACCTAAGGAGTTGCAGCGCTCGATCTGATTGGGGACTGGCTGCAGGGACGCAAACCTCGAGTCCGGCCGGCAGCTCTTCAGTTTAACGAACAGCGCCTTCTTCAGGGCACAGGTGAAGTAGCGAGTGCCCCGGAAGGTGCCATCTGTGCAGCCGGCACACTCGTCTTCCTGGAAAGAAAATGCTGTCGTGGGCATTCTTGCACCATCTTACAAAGAGTTACACACGTATAGGCCTGAGGTTGCTGAGAAGTGTATGGGGTTGACTCTCAGAATCCCACCCCCTTCCTGCCCAGAATTCCAAGAGGGAAAGAGTCAGTGCTTCCGCCCACAGCTAATGATTGAAGAGAAGAATTTCCTAATTCAGCATGAAGGCCTCAGGATAGCTCCTTTAAGAAGATGTAAAACGACTTCCCTGGTTCTCTGAATTTCCTACACAGTCTCCACAACCATTCAAACTGGGGGAGCGATTTAACAACTGTCTTTCATCCCCCACAAAGAGCATTTGATGTAATGTAGGCAAAAAAAAAGTTTTTTAAACAAAAATTTTTGAAAAACCGAATGTGTTCAAACTCTTGTCTCTCAATTACAAAATGCCAAATAATATAGTCCCCTAATCTCCAAGTGAGAAAAAAAGAAAGAAAAGAAAACCTTTCTTTCTTTCAAACCTTTTAAAAGGCAATTACTCTTAAAGCCAGTGATATAAATGCTGAAACAAACTAGGGCAGTGAAGCTGAGAAGAAAAAGAAAAAGCTGCTAACAGATTTGTTTTCCTTGTTGTATTCTGTTCATTATAATGAGTCTAAACATATTAGCCTAAAAATCTATTTTCATTCCTTGAACACACACCAATTAACATTACAAACGCAAAATTCAGATGCTCAATGTGGTATGAAAATTTTCTCCAGTGGTGGCTTTCATGACAAACATAACCATTCGTCACAAAGCATGCAGAAGAGGGGACGGTGGGGGAGAGAATAAATCTTTTCGAAACCCGAGAGAGAAGAGAAGCATAAATTTTAGGTCAAATGAAATTACCAGTTCCAGTCCAGCGAGCACTTCACTGAGTCCTGGAGGCTGACCGATCCAGCGGATAACCCCGTAGAAGGGCGGGTTCTCCTTAACTTCAGCCAGGGAGCCCACCTCCAGCCCGTGTGAGTTGCCAGCAGAGAGGGCCAGGGGCGGGCTCTCCTGGACAGGGGCATTGTTCAGCTCCCCCATCACGGACTGCACCGACAGTGAGAGCGGGCTGTGGCCAATACTCCCGTTGGAGTTGGGCATCTTGGTCAAACTGAACGGTAAAGAGTGAAATCTGTTCTCACTGGACAACGAGTTCAAAGAGGGAGGCTGCGGAGGTGGCGAAGCATGTCCAAACTCTGGAGGCAACTCTGTAAGTGATTTTGCGGGATGTTCGGCAACTACGAAAAATGATTCTTCATTAGAGAAATGTCTTCAAGGAGACCCCGGAGGCCTCATGTCTCTCAGCACTAGCAAACACTTCTAGCCCAGTGGCCCCCTTGACCTCTCTCGTGGGCATCCTGCGAGCATCACAAACTTACTATCTTCCAAACAGAGCTTTCATCACCTCAAAATATTTTCTAGGTCACTAAATTGCTCAAACAAACAAAAAATCATACGCCACTGATGTGTATTTTATGTTCTTTGTCTAAAATAGAATTAAGTGAGAAAATGTTGCAGAAAGATATCAAAAGCATTTAAGGAAGATGCTGCTGAATAATTCATGAAACAAAGAAGAAATAATCATGTAAATTTTTTAAATAATGAGAAAGAACAATTATATAAATTATTATAATAATTTACAATAATACCATAAAAAGTGTTATAAAGTAGTACTTATAAAGGAAATGTACCGATGTATACCTTATCTTAGAAAAAAAATATTTACAAACTCAGCAAATAATTTGAGAAGTTAGAACACAATAATCCCTGGAAAATGTAGAGCAAAAAGAATAAGAAAAAAAATATATATATATAAATTGAAGAGAAAACAACAAGCAAAAGACAAACAACATTAAAATTATCCTTAAAAGCAACTAATACTTTTGCCAGACAGGCATTGTAGAGTGGGGAAAGAACGTCATTTGTTATAAACAGAGTTGAGGAACCGTTTGTCTTTATTTTCTTCAAAAATAAAACTGTACTTCTAATTTCTTGGTGGTGTAAAGATAGATATAAATGGTAAAAGTATACATTTTTGTAAGTTTCATAACACTTAGAAATTGAGAAAAATTTAAGAATTAAAAACTGTTTCTTAATACTTAGGGATAGAGAAAAAACGTCTTACACATAAGTATACAAATCATAGAGGACAAGATTGACAAATATGACCAGATTAAAATTAATAGCTACTTGGTCATTTGGAAGCATCACTGTCCAAGTAAGAATGAGTTACAGAGAGAAAATATTTACATCATAGTAACAGCTGAGAAAGAATTACAATTTGTAAAAGGTCTATCAACTAATATGAAAAATATCCTGATCCCCCCCCCAAAAAAAACCTAGATAAATAATGGGCTTGAAAAAGTAACTCACACAATAAACTCAACTGACCAACAACAAATCAACTAAAGAAGATTCTTATTCTTGCTAGTAAAGGGTATAAAAGAAAGAAATGACAATCATAGCTAGCATTTCAGAAGTTAAGCCTTTGACCATTATCTTCAGGATGAAAAGAAAGTTAGATACTTAAAAATGCCAACTGCAGTACAAATTGGAATTATTACTTGGGATAACAGTTTGGCATGATTTGGCAAAGGAAAGTAGTATATAATCTATGACCCAAAAACTCCCCTCTTGGTTATAGATCTCATACATGGGCAAGAAAAATAAAAGCGGAGCTCAACAATAATAGGAAAATATAAACAATTCATTGATGGTTGAATGGATAAGCTCACTGTGGTATATTGATATATTTTATAACCATAAAACAGAATGCTATGTGGAAGTGGAACACACGTTTTACATTTATGAGACCCCAAGTTTGATCCCTGGCACTTTATGGTCCCCTGCAGGGACACCATGAGCGATAGCCCTGGTGCCCCTCCAAGCATCTCCTGATGGTTCCACACTGCAGAGCCCAAGAAGCACTGCTGGACCCAATCCCCACACTGCTAGGCCCACTGGACCAAGTACCTCAGGAAGTGGCCTCTGGGCTGCCAAGCACTGCCCAAGACGCAACTGTTCTGACTCCTTGTATGTACAACTCAGGAATATGCAGAACTATGCGTTATTCAGATATAAAATGTAAGAAGATATAAGGAAATCAAGAGGATAACAAACACTGAAGATGATGATAGCTCCGAAGAGGGAGCAAAGAGAGCAGTACAAGGAAAAGGCCTTAAGGGGAATTCAAAGGGATGACAGTATTCTTCTCTTTAAAGTGAATGGGACTGCATGGGTATTCACTATGCTATATATTTTGTGTTTTAAATCTTATCCACTTAGGATTTTTAGTAAGAGAATCAAGCTACAATTTGTTAAGTTATTCTTTTCTTTCCCAAACCCACAATTTGCCCCAAGCCCAAGAGCCAGATGGATAAAGTTAAGTTCTGTTGGTTTTATCTCCAATATGTATATATTAAATGGATCCATTTCTCTTAACCTCTACCATAATCTCCATCATTCAAGCATCCACCAGCTTTTCCTCTGCAACTAGACTGTGACCTGCTCTGTTAGCTCTCTCCAGTTTATTCAACATACAACTTCTAGTGAGAGTCAGTAAAATTATCTTACATAACCTCTTCTCATCCCCCTGTTTAAAACTGTTCACTGGGGGGCAGGGGGTGGGTGATAGAGAGATTGCTCAATGAGCTGGGCACATCCTTTGCATGTGGGAGCCTAGGTCAATCCCCAGAACCTCATGGTTTCTCCAGCATGGCCAGAAGTAATCCCTGAGCAGAGCCAGGAATAGTCCCTGTAATCTACTAGGGGTGTGGGGGGAAGGAGGGCAGTGGGGAGAAGTGGGAGACAGATGGGAGCAGGAAAAAGAAACAAAACTAACAAAACTGTTCATTGACTTTCTGGAATTCTTAGCATAAACACTAAATTTCTTATCAAGACTTCAAGGTAGGTCCTGGATAACCTACCTTCTACTTAACCCAGCCAAACTCATTTCATCAACTACACTCCCTTGGAACTAATTTTACAACCATTCTTGCCAACTTCCTGTTCTTCAAATGCTCTTCTCAGCTCAGAGGACTTGTCTTTATCTTTTCCTATGTCTGGAAAGAACCTGCTAAGGTCTTTTTTTTGGGGGGGGGGGGGGGGCAGGTCCACTCAGATCAACCAGATCTTAATACACATACCCTTTCTTTAAAGAACCTTTTCTAAACCACCCAATGGTAGCTTCCTACCAGGCATTCTCACTTTGTCTATTTCCCTCACTGTACCTGTCAAACCTTGTCTATCTAAACATTTCCTATCTAGCAGGGCATCTACAATATAAGCTCACTGAGGACAGGAAATGTATTAATCTTTGTCAGGACTGAACCCATAGCCCTTGGTATAGCAACTGACATAAGGAAATATTCAATATTGGGGTTCTTTTCAGTGAATAGATGAATTAAGTATAGAAAAAAAGGTTTTAAATGAAGTAGCATTAACTTCAGAAATAATTACACTTATTCTTTTTTTTTTTTAAATAAATAGATTTTATTTGGAGAGTTTTTAAGGTGTGGAGAGGGAGAGAGTGAAAGAGAGAGAGAGTAACGTACTCAAGAGAGAACGCGGGCTTCTTCAAGAGCAGAGAGAGCCCCTACACACATTTCAGCATTATACACGAAAGAATGAAAGTAGACATCTCGAGAGGGGAGATGCAGGTGACACATGTGCTCGGTCGCATGAGTGCAAGCAGCACCTGGACTCGGGCAGCATATGCGCTACACTTATTCTTTTCCCAAATTTTTTTTTCCAATTTAAGAATGAAGGGCGACTCCACATAAATTTTACTTTAAGTGTTCCCAGACTTAAGATCAAATTGCTTTCATGAAATATGGATACAGCATTAGACCAAATCGAAATAGAACCCAAAAGTCTGCATTAGATACAATATAAAAAGTGTTCTAAAGAATGATAAAAATGTACATCCATGCATTTGAGGGTTTCGTATTACCTAGATTATGAAAAAGTGAGGATTGTACTAGCTTTTTTCCTTAGAAAGCACTCAGCACCCAGGGAAAGTACAAGCAAAACCTGCCAACGGGAACAGAAGCACAGAGTCCCCACCACCACCACCACCACCACCACTACCACACGCAGTGCCATCTGGAGGCCTGCTGTGGGGGACTCCTCAAAGGACTGATAAGCTCTGCCAGTCCCTTGACGTTTCATCTCCACCCCCGTCCCCTACCCCCACCCCCAGAAAAAAAAAAAGCAGCCAGCATCTGCTACCACATGAGCCAAATCTTTTTTGGTTTTTGTTTGGTTTGGGGGCCACACCCAGCAGTGCTCAGGGCTGACTCCTGGCTCTGCACTCCTGGCAGGGCTCGGGGGGACCCTATGGGGTGCCAGGGACTGAACCTGGCCTGGCTTTGCCACAAGCAAGGTGGACTACCTCTCCAGCCCGCCATGAGCCAAATCTTAAGGACAGTAGTGTATAAGGAGATAGGACCTCCTGGAGAAGCATCATTTAAACACTCCTCCAGCTCTTGGGGGCCACAGCCCTGACTGCCTCCTTTCACATGCCCCCTCCCCCCCCACCCCCATCCCCACTGCATTCCAGAACTGAAAGCATGGAGAAGACAAAGAGCTCACACAAGCCACATGTATCTATTCCCCACTGTACCCAACAGTAGACTTTCATTGGGACAACTGTGGATCCCTAACATACCTGAATGTATCTGAAAACTTAATCATCACAGAGTTCTACAGTACTCTGAGAAATTTTTTTTTTTCACATAGGGGACAGTCCCAGCAGTGCCTGGAGTGCTTCTGACTGTTTTCAGTGATGTCTGGCCTGGAGGTTCAGGTCTGGAGTGACACCTGGTCATGCTCACTGGTACTTGGGATGTCCTGGGTGCCCAGGGATCCAACTTGGGGCCTCGCACATGCTACCACTGTGCTATCTTCCAAGTCCCTGGAATTCTTTTCATTTGCCTTAGACACAATTACTAAATCTACCATATACCAAGTCCTATGTTGGCACCTGGAACTCACCATCCTCCAGGCAAGAAAGCAAAACCATGATGATGTCACTCCACCTAACCTAGGAGAGACGAGGAGAAGCTTCAAAGAAACTAAAGACCAGGCTGAGACTTAACTCAGGGAGAAGTTGGTGTGTGAAACAGGAGCAAAGAAAAGAAGGATTCCAGGCAGTAGTAAGAGCATGTGCCAGCTAAGTGCTGGATTAGCCAGCAGGAGCAAGATTCAAGGGAAATGACAGACAAGGAAGAGGTGACATGATCAAATGTCCAATAAAAGTAAGGATTCCGGATTTTTATCACTAAGTGCTAAATAAAGTATTACTAGATAGTAAGGAAAGGAGAGACACATAGAAGAGTCACCCCAGGAGGGGCCGGAGAGATAGGACAGCAGAGAGAGCGCTTGTCTTTACACATGGCTGACCCAGGCTCAATCCCCAACATCCTATATGGTCCCCCAAGCACCTCCAGCAGTAATTCCTGAGCGTGGAACCAGCAGTAACTCAAGTAGTGCCAGGTGAGGACAAAAACAAGCAAACAAACAAGCAAAAAAACCTTATACTGGACCAGAGCAATAATACAGCGGGTAGGGCATTTGCCTTGCACATGGTCTACCCAGGTTTGATCCCCAGCATCCAATATGGTCCCCAAGCACCACCAGGAGTAACTCCTGAATGCAGAGTCAGGAGTAACCCCTGAGCATTGCCGGGTGTGACCCCAAAAGTTGAAAATAAATTTTAAAAATAAAAGTATTGTTATAAAGTTTTTTTTTAAAAAAAAACACCTTGCACCACAATAAGAATGAGAGGAGAAAGAAAGAAAGAAAGAAAGAAAGAAAGAAAGAAAGAAAGAAAGATAGATCACCCCAAGGATAATGTGAAGAGAACAAATATTAAAGGAGAGACAATACAGGTCTCTTCAGAAAAATCACCCCAAGAATATTGTGAGAGAAACTCATTATGAACAAAAGTTTATTCTCTGGTGTCAAAGAGATCCAAGCTGGCAGAGTGGCCCCAATTACGACCAACTGTGTGGCTCAGGTACTTTAGCACTGGAACAGGAGAAATATTGACCTTTAAAAGCTGTATGAGGACAAAGTAAAATAACACATAGAAATACATGTCCAGACCTAGTAATAACAAATAGTCAACAAACGTCAACTGCAGAGATGATGGTGATAATGAAGAAGATGATTAGTCATTATGGTTCAAAACAAAAGTAACAGAAGCTAGAGGCAGAAAAACCAGTTAGGGGCCACCCATCCACTTAGCAGCAAACAAAGGAGCTGAACTATGGCAGTGACTGTGGGGGAAAAAAAAAAAAAGAGGAGCAAGAGTCTAATGAGAATGAGGAGGAGGAAATCAAGAGGCCTCAAATGTGAAGTGGGAAGAAATCCAGGATGAAGCCCACTCTTCTAACTTATAGACAGGTGAACTCCATTTCCTTGCTCCACCGAAAAGAAAAAAAAAAAAACGCAACAAACCCCCAAACTCACTTACTGGCAACTCCCCAGCTAAATCAGTGGGTGTATGTGTGTGATCTCTATCTCTTTTGCCCTCTCAGCACTGCTGCTCTCCTCATCCCTCCCTCCCCTTCCCCCTAGGCCTTCCGCCCTGCCATATATAGTTTAAATAAGCGTATTAAACCCTGTGCTATCCCTCTGGTCCCTCCGTTTCTTTTGAAACCTTATTCTCTTCTACCCCAGTCTTACTCTCTTCTACCCAGTTCCTGAAGGTTTAGTCTTAAGTATCCCCACTCTCTCCTTAAGCATTTATTATTCACGGGATTTTAATCATCGCAGTAGCACTGTAGTAGCACTTGTCCTCCCGTTGTTCATCGATTTGCTCGAGCGGGCCCGGTAACGTCTCCATTGGAGACTTTGTTGTTACTGTGTTTGGCATATTGAATACATCATGGGGAGCTTGCCAGGCTTTGCCGTGCAGGCGAGATACTCTCGGTAGCTTGCCGGGCTCTCAGAGAGGGGTGGAGGAATTGAACCTGGCTCGGCCGGGTCGGCTGGGCACAAAATCATCGCAGATAACCTACAAATGTATTTCCAGAGACCATATCTCTCTCCTAAGCTCCACTTTTATCCCCCAGGAAGTTTGTAAGTCTTCACAAATACAACATATTCAAAATTCAACCCCGCCCCTTCCTCCACAATTACTGTGTCTGCTACCCGGAAAGTCAAGGGCCCTCTTGGGCACAACCATCTTCCTCAGCTCTCACTTTCCATCCTCCTCTCTCCTTCTCTTTCCCAGGAAACCTAATCCCAGTCATAATCTGTGGCCAAATGCAGTGGTATCCTTGCCTATACACAGTCCCTACCTCAATCCATTGTTCTCTGTGTAGCCAGAATGATCTTTTCAAAAGACAAATTTGGTCATGTCACCCTTGGCTGAAAACCCGTCAAAATGCTTCCAACTTCTTTTACACTGGAGTGTGAAGCACATTAGAAAGGGATTTAAAGAAGTAGGAGAGGCCAGATAATCAGCTCTATTCCGATGGACAGAATGTGATTTGATTGGTCCTTTTCAACAAACCCTATTAACATAGGCAATCCAATTCGTCCCTTGCAACATACTCCATTAACATAGGAAACCAACCTAGCAACGGGATTAGTCCATCTCACTGTACTTCGTTTACAGAGGATACAACCAATGAGATCAGACTTGTCATCCTTCATTTACTAAGACGTAGCCAATCGGAGAGACGAAACAACTAAGAGGTGGAGAATACAGAACTGCATTTAAGCTAAGGTAACTGTGTATGGGTTTGCCTAGTCCATTAGTGAGGCCAGCCCCAGTGAGATACTTTGCCTTCTGCCTGGGTTATGAGTTCTAGAAGAAATAAAGAGCTATTACGCTGAAGACAGTTGGTGATCTGTGTGCTATTTTCATTCTCTCTAAGGACCTGAAGTTAGATCAGCTGTAACAGAGGCTCTCTGGGTTTTCTACATCCCAGCCCTGGTGACACTTCCATTTTTGCATCTCCAAAATTGTTATGCTTTACCCTCTCGGTTCCATTATTCTGGGCTACTCTTTTCAGTTCTTGCTAAACAAACACAAGGCTCTACTTTCCCACAAGACTTGTACAGAACAATTCCTTCTGCCTAAGTGGTTCTTCTGCACCTTTCACTTTCGGAAAGTGCCTCTGGTTGCTCCAAGCTCACGCACATAATTCATCCAGCAGAAACAGTGCTGAGATTCCCTAAGAAAAATTACCCTTAATAATGTCTTGTAGAACTGCACTAATCACAACTGCATTTCTATATCTGTGTTGGGATTATTTAGTAATTTCTATCTAAATAAGACATCTAAACTTGATCATAAATTCAGAAACGTCAGGAACCATGTGCACTGTTTTTCTCACCGTTGTCTTCTCAGTGACTAAAAAGGTACCTGATTCCTACTAAACATCTAATCAATATTAAGTAAAAAGTAAAAAAGAAAGGAAAAAAGAAACCAGAAGAAAATGATGTCTCAGATACAAGGGAAGAGTTTTAAAAATGGATTACGTTAGAGATCGAGAATGACCCAGACAGATTTAACTGATTCCATCCTATGCAGATCAATTATAAGAAGAAAACAAGGTGATAATACATTTTCTAACTGTTTCATCTTTATAACAGTGCAGTTCAAATTGTGTCCAAAAGTTTAGGTTGATGATAAAGACTGTTTCCAAAAGTCATTTAAAAAGCTTCCTCCTCTTTTTTTTTTTTTTAAATTTCAAAGGCACGTCTGCTAAGCAGATTGTTAGAAATAACATTAAAATTGCAGATTACCTTCATCAGTGTACCATGTATTTTTTGATTTGGGTTGTGGTTGTGAGTCAACAGAAGACCCATTTAAGGTATAAAATAATTCAGATCTGTTTCTATTTCCAGGGTCTGAGGTAGATCCTATGGAAAAAGAAAACTTCCTTTAAAAATAAAGTCAGTATGATGTGAAAGCTTTTAATAAGAGAAATTAATATGCATGCAGTGTTAACCACTAGTTATATAATGAACAGATGTATATAATAAATCTATTCCTGTTTTCAGTTTTTAAAATTTTGATGACCATTTGGCAGTGTCAAAAGTCAATATGACAAGAGTAAGCTGAAAGAAAAAGCTGCTTTTAAAAATAATAAAGTTTTTAAAAGTAATTCCACATGCGATAGCTTGTAACTTTCATATGTCAAATTTTCCATTCTCCAGTGTTATTTGCTGAACCTATCATTTCACAAATTTAATCTATTTAAAAACGACTCCTTTTGGGAACCCTCATCCACTGCTGGTGCAAATGTCAACTGGTCCCGTCTTTTTGGAACAATATGGATATTTCTCAGAAAACTAGGAATTGATCTCCAGTATGACCCAGCAATTCTACTTCCTGGCATTTACCACAGAGAACCAAAAACTATTCACAAAAGATACAAGAGTGTTCATTGCAGCACTATTCACAATAGCCAAAATCTGGAAACAACCCAAGTGTCCAAAAACAGATGACTGGATAAAGAAATGGTGATTCATATACACAATGGAATACTACAAAGCTATAAGAAAAGATGAACTCATGCAATTTGCTCCTTTGTGGGTGGATCTGGAGATTATTAAGCTTAGTAGGTTAGAGACACACATAGAATGATCTCCCTCATATGTTGTATATATATATAAAGAAACACAGTAAGAAAACAATAAATACTGAACACAACAGAAACTGAGAAGTCTTTAGTCGGAAGAATATTAAGGGAATTTAATTTTGTAGTTAGAATATTAAGGGGGTTGTAGCGGACTGGCAGAGTGGGGAGGGGGGAATGATTGGAGGGTGGTGTGGTGACACACTGGAGGGTGCAATGTTAGAATGTTTTACACATGGAAACCCTGCCATTATCAATACTTTTAAAGTGCCTAAAATGCAATTAAAAAAAATAAAACTGGGGCTGGAGCAACAGCACAGCGGGTGGGGCGTTTGCCTTGCACATGGCCAACCCAGGTTCGATTCCTGGCATCCCATATGGTTCCCTGAGCACTGCCAGGGGTAATTCCTGAGTGCAGAGCCAGGAATAACCCTTGTGCATCGCCGGGCATGACCCAAAAAGCAAAAAAAAAAAAACCCCAAAAAACAACAACCTGTTTCTTTCAAAAGAAAATAATATTAAAATGCTGAATATAAGCAATAAAAAAAAATCAAGTTTAAAAGATTTAAGGTGTAGGGGTCAGAGTGATAGTAGAGTGAGTAGGGTACTTGCTCTGCACATGGCCAACCTGGGTTCAATCTCCAGCACCCCATACGGTCCCCTGAGCCCCACCAAGAGTGATCCCTGAGCACAGAGCCAGGGGAAAGCCCTGGGCTCCACCAGGTGCAGCCCAAATAACCACACAACAAAAAGCAAAAGATTTACAGTTTAAACAGTTTGGATGATTAGTCAGCAAATGCTTTGCCTGATTTCTTCATATTTTTGAAAGATAAAGGAGTTGGAGCATTGTTTCTTTCCTTCTTTCTTTTTTTTTTGGGGGGGGGGGTGGCTAGGGAATCATATCTGGTGCCAGGATGGAACCTGGGTCAGCTGTATGCAAGGCAAGTGTTTTTTACTCACAGGACTATCTCTCTGGCCCTAGGAGTATAATTTCTCATATATCAACTAAAGATGAGAGAGAGCTAGCTATTCTACCTATATCAGATACTCCAAAACATGATCCCTCCTCGGTACAAGAGGATATGCCATTGTTAAGAGAAACAGTCTCCAGAACTCAACAAAATATTTTTTTTTCATTGAGAACAGTTCGATATCTTATTCATATAAATAAAATCTGCCACAGCACAAGTAACATATCTTAACACAGCCTTTAGATGACTTATGTTTTCTGAACATAGCAAGTTCCGTTCTATCTAGCTCAGGAGGTTAATATTTTTTTTAAAAAAAATACTATTACCTATATATCCCATTGAGTTATCAGCCTTCCAAGATCAAATATCATATACAATGGATTGAGCCACACTCACCCATGCTTAAAGGTTACGCTTGGCTCTGTGCTCAAGGATTATTCTGAGCAGCCCTTGGGGATATGCACTACTGGGAATTGAACCAAGGTTCGCTTGTGCAAGGCTATAACCTTACTCTCTGCACTATCTCTATGGCCTCACATATAACGTTACTTGTAGGTTTATTTTTTTCTTTCATTTTGAATTAGTGCTCAGGGCTTATACACCTGGCATTGTGCTCAGGGATCACTCATGGGCAGGGTGCCAGAGAGCCATATGCAGCACTGGGGATTGAACCAGGACTGGCCACATGAGAGGCAACCTGCTGTACCTACCTGCTGTACTATCTCTCTTAGAGAACAATTTCCTTTTCTATGAGCTGAAGTTAGTTTTGTTCACTGGATTAAGAAAAAGATACTCTTCTAACCCATAAATATATTAACAAAAATTTTTGGTTGTTTTATGAGTTGTTTAACTTTTATAACTTCCACCCTATAAATCTATGAAATATGTTGATACTAAAGGAAAAAAGTTTTAAAAAATACCCACTATACACAAATTATAGGGAGTTTTTGGTAGAGAGAGAGAAAAAAATGGTTTTCTTGGGGGAGGCTGGAGTGATAGTACAACAGGATAGGGCACTTGCCTTGCACACAGATGACCCAAGTTGAATCCCCAGCATCTCATGAGGTCCCTTAAGCCTCACTAGAAGTGATCCCTGAGCACAGAGCCAGGAGTAAGCCCTGAGCACTGCTGGATTTGGCTCCAAAACAAACCAAAAAAAAAAAAGTTGTCTTGGAAGTTTAGATCTTACTTCCAAATTTGTGCTATATCTAATTAGCAAAATCTACCTAACTTATCTTTCACATACTTCAATAATTTTATCATACAGAATATTAACTTTATATAATTATTCTGCACAGCTGCAGTTTTCTAAAATGTTAAGGAAGCGGTTCCAAAAACAAGCTGATATGAAGCAGCAGGAGACACTGCACTCCAGGAAAACTCTGATGAATCAGAAAAATAAAATTGAGGGAGGGAAGGAGGTGGCTGGAGAAATAGTACAGGGGGGAAGACACTTGCCTTCCATAGGGTGGAATTTGGATCAATCTTCAATACAGGGTATGGTCCCCTGAGCACAGGGTGAGGAGTAAACCCTGACCACCTCTACGTGTGGTCCAAACTCCACCAACCAAAAATAAAAAAGCTGGGGCAGGGCAGGAGAGCTCACTCAGGGGCTAAGGTGCAGGACTCACATGCAGTGGGCCACAGTTCAATCCCTGGCACTATATAGGGTGCCCTGCATCCTCAGGCCCTAGAACTGAACTGGGGCCTGGTTGACAGAGAATCACTGGGAGGGACTGCTGGGCTGCTTGAGCTCTGCTTAGGAGGCCACCACCAAAAAAAATGTCAGGAATTTATGGTTTCAGCAACAGCCCTATAAAGCCATATATATATATATATATATATATATATATATAATTTTTATTAGTGAGACACCATGAGGTACAGTTGTAAATTTACAAATTTTTAAATAAATAAAATTTTAAATAAACTACTAAGAACCTATGCAAGCAAGTCTACATGTGCACTGAAACATAACGCTACCAAACCTCTCATATACTGTGGCAAAGCAGATGTCTAGACAATAACTACTGCAGCAGGGGTGGTGCGTGGGGGGCCAGGGCTGGGAGAGTATAAAGAGGGGTGGGCACGCTGGTGAAGTGTGGTGTTGGGATCTTGCACACATGAAACCCTATCGTGAATTGTGCCGTCACTCACAATGGCTAAGATACAAATGATTTTTATGAAAGAACTGCATCCCACTAATCCTTACCTGTAACCTTTGGTTTACTATGGCTGGAAGAACCTTTGTCCCCAACACCTCTTGACATAAAGGCAAGTTTGGGAGGCCTCCTTTCCTGTGTCACATTATCTGAAACAGTAGACACAGTTTTTAAGTATAAAGACAAACTCTTATAGCGAAGGAACAATCATGCAAACAACGAGAACACCAACAAAACCCTCTAACAACAACAACAACAACAAAAATATTTCCATTGCAGTTCTACAAATTTGTAAAGGCCATCAAAGGAAGTGAAAGGGATAATACCAAAAAGGAAAAAAAATCAATGCAGTACTTCAAAACATAATTTCTACAAGAAAATACACCCCAAATACAATTCAGCTAAATGCTTTGACTTCTTGAAAACATAATCCCTTTCAGTCAATTATATTTGATGTGTTAAAACACTACAAAGAAAACCCGTACAAAGTTTTTTGTAGGATTTCCTAAATCAATATTCCCAGGACAGCCCTTTGTATTATGAAGTGTTCTACACTCAAATACTTCTAGAAGATAGTGAGATAAACAAAGATAAACGGGCTTTTTTAATGGCATAGCTCCACAACCTTTAATATGCTAATGTGAACTGTGAAACTCTCAAAGAGGGACAGAGTAAACTCATCTGATGATAATAATTCTTGTGCCACTCAGCATTTCAGATAAAGTATCTCATGAAACAATGGTTTGGGAAAAGTCTGGTTAGAAAAACGCATCATTCTTAAAAGCACACACGTTAAGAATAACATGTTAAGCACACACTGAGAATAACACCAACATGGATACAAACACATATTCACATAAATAGGAAAAAGAGAACAATGTATAGGTTAATAATGTCAAAAGTCAGAGACAAATTTTAATAATTCTTAAAAGAAAATATTCAGAAAAACTTTACATAAGTATAACAAGTTTAGCAGGATTATTTTTCACACAAAGACCACTCTATACCTTAAAGACCTCCTGCTTTTTGTAAGAGATTTACAAATACTGAGCAAGCAAATATAAAAAGTTAAGTTTTGAAAGCTTTTCCCCTTAAAGTTCAAAACACATTCAGTCATTAACGTGACACTTTAGGAATCATACCTGATAAAGCTGTGATCAGCAAAAACGAATCACCCACATTGGATTTTTGAGAACAAAAAGAAAAAGATAGGAAAAGTTTTACATTTCAAACACAAGGAAAAGATGGGTTTTAAAAAAAAATAAAATAAAAGGAAACAATGGTGAATCAGTTATATACAAATGCTTGGTAACTCTTGCCGTGACTGGAGAGGAAGGGAATTATATTAAATTCTATCTTAATGTCTTAATGATGGATGGTATAGTATTTCAGTTCAAAAGTTCCCATCTATCACTGCATAGCTGCCACAGATTTTATGTCAGTTTCTCATCTTTTTTTGGGGGGGAGGGGTTTAAAAAGCAAAAAAATTACAAAGTGATGTGTGACCATTTTGAGGCTCCTTTGGAAAAAAATAGTGTGAGTGTTACTGAATAAACAGGATGTGATGGTGACAATTTCCCAGTGAAACACAGTATACTTAATCTTCATGATTTTAATAAAAAAGAATAGCTATTGTAAAAGAAAATGGTAAAAGAAGAACTATTTGGAATATTTGTATGATGGTACCATTCAGAAGTTTCCAAATAATACGCTGAGAACTAATGTGAGTATAAAACTCATAGTCACTGGCAAAAGTTCCCAAATTATAGTGTATGATAAATTGGTTAAAGAAACATAATTTCCATCATCAGCTGTAACTAAGTACAAGTAAATCCATTTTTAAAAGGTATTGTAATGGATTTCGTGCTCTGTGCACTGCGGTCAGTAAGTGGCATTTCCAACAAAGGCTGCAAAGGGTCTTCACTGAGGCAACCTGGCTGTCCAGGGGGGTGAAGTGGGACCGAGAGCATCTGCTGTCGGGCTCCACAGCTCAGGGATATGGAGAGCACTGGACTCAGAAATGTGCTCAGCTCCTGCAAAAGCCTTAGTCAAAGAAAGATCAAATACAATTTTTTGAGGAACAAATATGTCTATGGAATTCAACATGCCGCGTCAAATCTACCCTCTAACACAATTATATACCGAGTATTTCCTGTCTCTTTCTCACAACAATGTTCATAATCCAAAACCAAAGTCTTTTACTTTCAATGAAATTTTAAGATGTTACCATCTCAGGAAAGGCATGGGAAAGTAAACAGAGGGAAGAAATTCAACAGTCAATTTTGTGAGATTAAAATAATCCTTAAGAGGATTAGTTTAAGGATAAAAGAGATACGAGATGTTTAAAGGGATATCATAGAATGTCCACCAAATAACATGCATAAAAATGTACGCATCTGCCTTATTCGTGGAAAACTAAAAGGCTGGAACAATTTATTCTGTAGAAAAGGGGATAAACAAATTGTGGACTATTCGTATAATAGACTATGGCAAAGCAATAAAAAGAAAGAAGCTACTAACATACACAATACAGATGTTATAGTGAGTAAAAGGTAATGGACCAAAAGTATTGATTTTATATAGATAGACAGATAGATAGATCGATAGATCTATAGATATGTAGTAAAATTGCACTCAAAGTCCTAAAACCAGCAGCTCATCCATTACTCACTAGCTTTAATGGAAAAAGAAATATATCCTGGAGAATCTTGGGTAGGAAATCATAAAAATAAAATGGGCTGGAGCAATAGTACAGCAAGTAGGATTCTTGCCTTGCACGCAGACAACCCAGGTTAGATCTCTGACATCCATATGGTACTGTTATTATTATTACATTAAGTATTATATGTCATATATGGGCTGGAGCGATAGCACAGAGCATAGGGCATTTGCCTTACATGTGGCCAACATGGGTTTGATTCCTTCGCCCCTCTCAGAGAGCCTGGCAAGCTACCGAGAGTATCCCGCCTGCATATCGGAGCCTGGCAAGTGCCCCATGGCATATTTGATATGCCAAAAAACAGTAACAACAAGTCTCGCAATGGAGATGTTACTGGTGCCCGCTCGAGCAAATTGATGAACAACGGGAGGACAGTGCTACGGTTCTATATCATATAATATATAGTATTACATATAATAATAATATAAATTGTATATTATAAGTACTGTTATTTTACAGTACTTATTATCCAAGCACTGCCAGGAGTGATCCCTGACTTCAGAACCAAGAGTAAACCCTGAGCACAGATGGGTATGGCCCAAAAACAAAAATCATAACAACATGTTATAAAATGTTTATGAATATGAGTCACAACTTAAATTGAGGAAAAACTGCTTAATTGATGCAATGCATTCTCATGAAATCATGAGAACAAAAGAACATCATTCAGACCCAAATGAGAATTTATTATCCACAGCAAAATTTACTGAAAAAAAAAAATACAATGACATTTAAGTAGAATGAAGTATTATAAAAGTCAATACCAGATATGATATACTTAGCAACTAACCAAAACCAGGGGAGACTGCTGATTTAAAAACAAACAAACAAAAACACTTTCCTTATATTTTACACAATCTTCTTTGCAGATAACATGAGACTTGCACACCGAGATCTAGCACTTTAAAATAACCTGCTAGGCTCCATGTGCCCCTGTCAGCAGGCAACCTCTGGGGGGTTTAGACTGACAATCTCTATGGAACATCATTTAGCATTATTCATAAAAAGGTCAAATATGTCTTTTGACCCATTGCTATACTTTTAGGAAGTTATCTTTTTTAATATCTTATACATTTATTTCACACATATGAGCATAATAAATCTTACTGAAAAATTCTGGTTCTATGTCACATGAAAAAACTTCACAGGCAACTTGGTTTGATGTCAGAGAAGAGACAAAATATGAAAGGATAGGATCAGAGAGATAAGCAGAAAGAAAAAGGTGCTGGCTTTGTACCAGGCTGACCCAGGTATGGACCCAGGTATGGACTCCCGAGCCTGCCAGGAGTGATCACAGAGTGCAAAGCCCTGAGCACAGGCAGTGTGGCCCAAAAAACAAAAACAATCAAACAAAAGAAAAGTAAATAAATAAAGGACAAAACTGGTCTTCAAAACGATCTGGAAATGTTGGAGGATTAGATAGCTCTAATGATCTAAGGACATGAGTTTTTTTAATAAGGACAAACACAAAGTAGTACTGCATGTTCCTCAAACTAAGTGCACAAGGCTGAAATCAGAAATAGAAATAATGAGGAGCAAAACTATGGATTTCAATCGAAGGTGAACTCAGTCCTCTTGACTTCACTTGCTTAATAGCACATTTATTGACTCTGCAAGCCTGTGTTCTCCTGTGAACGTGTGTCTTGGTTGCTTTTCTCTATTTCTCTTTGCTTGCTTTTCCCCCTCTGGAGAAGTCCAGGTTGTCTCTTAAACATTTGCTTTCTTTCTCTATCCTCATGTCCTCACATCTTTCTAAGTTAATTTCAATCAAAAAAACTACCATGCTTCACACACACACACACACACACACACACACACACACAAATTCCATTTGTTCAGCCAAGAAACAGAACCTACTCCATGCGAGAAGGTCCTCTGGGAATGTAATTTAGACTGTGACAGGACTGTCCCCAAATCTTTTCTGCCCCAATCCTAGAGGACATCAGCCCACACTGTCCCATTCTAGACATCAGCCTACATCTGGATTGCTCTATTAAATTTCCCAGCAGATTTCAAGCAGAAAGGTTTCCCAACCAAGCAGCTCTTATTCAGAATATCTGGAGACCGTGTCATAGGAGAAATGCCTAAAATGACTCAAACTGCTCAGACTTAGGAACAGAAGTTGGAGATGTCAAAGACATCCAACTATGAATATTTGAGGGTTCCTATAAGGAGGAAGGGCTGGATTTGTCTCTCTTCATGCCCAGTTCAGAGCTAGAATTCATTAAAAAAAAAAGTTAAAAGAAGCACTCAAGTGATTTTCATTATTGTTATTTTGATTTGGAAGCCACACCCAGCGATGGTTGGGGTAACCCCTGGCTACACTCAGGAATTATTCCTGGCAATGCTCAGGGGACCATATGGGGTACCAGGAATTGAACTCGGGTCAGCCACTTGCAAGGCAAGCACCCTACCCACTGTAGGGTACAT